AAATCGTAGTACTTATCTTGTAACGCTCCTCTTCGATCGCCTTGACCTTGTGCCAAATCGTAAAACCGCCTCTGTTAACTTTGAGGAACGTTACGCGGCATAACCGTCTTTCAAGCGACAATCCGTCGCATTTGCCCCCATCTCTGGACTCGACATATTACCTGTCACAATAGGTAAAATTTCGAGTTAATGGCGATTTTTTAAAAGACGTGATTTTCACGTTACACCTGATCCTTCAATCTAATTGGCTAGGATCACGTGCCGGAAAAAATCTTAAATCCTGACAAATCACGAATGTGCACAAAGTTCATAGGCAGAAGTTCATCTGATTGGCTAATGGATCCAATTTAATTTTCATTATTTATACAGTTTAGAGTAACTTTTAAAAAAAACGAAAATTAATCATAATGAAATCAAAAGGCTGTATAGGAGGTTTCATTAGAGCTGTAGGACTCCATAGTCAAAAATAAGATATTACTCTCATCAGTTTAAAAAATTAGCTTAGTAATAAGTTGATTTTATCGGGTTTTGAGAAGTTATTACTATACTACCTTTTTAAACGGACGAGAATTGGATCTTATTTTTGCCTATGGAGTCCTATAGCTCTAATGAAACCTTATATACGGCCTTTTTATTTCATTATGATTAGTTTTCCTTTTTTTAAAAAGTACCCTAAAATGTATAAACAATGTGAAATTAAATTGGATTTATTAGCCAATCAGACGTACTTCTGCCTATGAGAACAAAGTCATACTCTTGATGATAATTTGATGTCCAGACAAAGTTTTTGCGTTTCTTATTTATTTATATCTTAGCTTGCACTAACATTAAGTAAAATAAACTTTTCAATACTTGTTCACAAATTCTTTCTTAAACAAAATAAATATTATATCAAACTTGAACTAGTCATTATAATAATTACGCAACAAACATGAATTTAAATTGATAAATTTTAGAAAATGTTAAAACATTGATGCATCGCACTTGAATTTATCCAATTAAAGGTATATGTTATTTTTTGAAGGATGTTCTTGTACACCCAGTTTTCTTCATTGTTGACAAAATTTCATGATTAAAGTTGCACTGATAAGAAGTGAATGAAGAGAGCACAAGATATCTAAAGAAAACGCCAATCCAGTCACGATAAGTGAACGCATAAAAAAAAAAGTATCTAAAAGTTTTGCCGAAATGGGCAAAATTAAAGTCATGCTTCATTATTTTAAACTGTTCTTTCAGCACATTTCATTTTACTCCTATCTTGTCAAGCAGTTTAGTGTGCTTATTTACAGATTACTGCACTAGTAATGATATCAAAATTTCGAAAGACAATGTTTTTTTTTGTATTCTAAATGATATTAAAATTTGGTGAAAATTTGATATTACTAATTTATTCATCATTCAATGCATTCAATGCTAATCGGGGTAATAAAATAAAATCTCAGAAACATTCCGATTAGAAATTGAGCAAAACAGAAATTTGGAAGCAGAGTTTCACCAAGTCGTAACATAGATAGTGACACAAGTAAGCAGTTTTTCCGCATCGAGAACAAATAATTTATTTATTATTTTTTTTTTGATTACAAACACTAATGTGATAAGAATTTTAATATATCCTATTTAATCAGTCACACAATTATATGAATAGAGTCGCATTTATGAATTGTTAATTTTATCATTTTGACTTACCCATAATGAACGAAAGTTCACAGTCCAAGGCGCTTTCGAAATCCAAAGCTTGTCTTGGGAAGAGAATATGATTTCATGCAGCTAAATAAAAATATTGAAAAATAGAACTTAGAACTTAAATTCTGTGTGATCATCCAGCAATCATATGACATTCCGGAGTACAACATTGTACAGCTAACGTAATGGTACGTAAGTACAATTGTATAACATGCATATCTAGCTTCCAATTTAATATGGATCTCCTCAGCTAATATATCGATATTAGTTAAATAGTATCAACATCTTTGACTTTTTTTTAGAAATTAAGTACACGGTTTAGCTCTTGGATATTCAAAGGTTCACAATAATAGAAAATGTACGATGTATGTTCGTAGTGCTCTATACTTAGTGGATGCTTAAGAGCAGTTCTTTGAAGTCTAGTCAAACTTAAAACCGTTAGCGCAACACGCTCAAAGAATTTTCGCCATTATATACAAAAAAAAGTGTTGTTTGTATTACATGAGATTCTCGAATTGGTAAAACATATCTATGGTGATGTTTAACAAAACTCTCATGACTGTATTACTAAAAAAAATTTATCTATTTACACACAATTACGTACTATATGTAGTGTTTTGAAACATATGCACACACGTACGTACGTATACAAGATATGAAACTTTGGTTAATAACTTCAATTAAGCTTTTTATTCAGTTATTTTAAATAAAATTTTCTCAAAACCAATTAATTTTATTAAACAAATTTTAATCCGACTAAAATTTAACTAGATTTTTATTTTTCATATCCAATTGGATTTTTACTAAAAGCATCCTGTGCATGTGCAGGTCTAATACTTCAGCGATGTTACCCAACCTACTTGGGATGGTTTAAACTATGTGGCGAATAGTGCCACACAGTTTCAACATACCTAAGTTAATATTGTTCATTACGTATTTGGGATGTCCAAAAAGTTTAGGCAACATCGCTAATCTAATTATATTCACGTAATCGGACCAAACTACCCGTTTATATACATATTTATAATGGTTTTAAATTTCATTTTTTAAGATTTTGAAGAAATATATTTCTCGAAATTTATCAACCTTAAGTGCTGTTGAATTTCATCAAAATACTTTTTTACGAGTACAACATGAATTCCAACCAGGTTGAGATAACAGCTAATAATAATGAAAGCATTCAAGAAAAAAAGTACATAATCATGAACCTGAAAGAAGAATGGGAACTGGTAGAGACTCGTCTACTAGCTCGGAATAGGATGACTTTAATTCATCTAGTAGCGTCAACATTCACTGTAGCTTTTGGAACAATTTTATATTTCCTTGAGAAATATAATCGTACTGATAACGTTTTGAACATTATAACTTCGAGTATTGCCGCTACTGGTGGCCTTCTAGCTCTTATAAAAAGTATTGGTGAAAAAGTCAATGTCTCATCATTAGTTCAAGCTACTAAAAAGGTCGTTGATACAGGTGGTGCTTTCATACCTATGTTGATAGCTATATCCGATGATCAATTAAAGGCCTTATCTACTAAAAGGCACAAAGAATATATAAATTTTTTAAAGCGTATTAATATTCTTGTCGAACTTGAATGGAATTGGGCTATATGGTTTGGCGTTGGAACTTCTTCTTATGTTATCATTTCTGCAATCATTGCGATTTTAGTCAATACCGGTCATTTAAATAATGTTGCATCTAATATCGATCGACATTTGGCTGTAAGCATTGTCGTTGTTGGTGTGGTATGGCTTTTCTACGTTCTGTTTCTACATATTATAAAGTTCATCAATACTGCAAGCAATGTTCATTGGAGTTCAAAAGGCGACTTTGAAGGATTTTGTTACAATATTTATTTAGCAGTATTGTATATACCCATGATAATACCCACTTTGCCCTGGGTAGGGTATTTTTTTTTTATGAGAAGAATGTATGTAATTAAATGGGCAGAAGAAAGTGAATTTGATAAAGTTGTATTCTTTGGAAATGAGAAAGAAAGAGTTAAAGAAATGTTGAATATTACAAATTTTTTTAATCCAAAATATCTCTGCTGCATTTTCCAGAAGGCAATTCTAAAAATGAAAACTGACTATAAATTCATTTTTGAATTTATAGAATTAACTGAGGATCAAAGAAATGAACTTAGACGACTTATGTGTGGGTTGGAAGGCAAAGATGATTTTTAATCCTTTTTGTATTAATAAATACGCTTTAAATTTATTAATATCACGTATTAATATGACGTGTTATTACTATATTTATATGGCGTATTAATATGTCATGTGTTATTATTTTGTTGAATTATTATATATTATGATTTTTTATTATTTATTATATATATGAATTATGTATTTTTATTATAAATGTGAACGGAATTTAAGTGGATTTGGAATTTCTTAAGATTTTAAAGTTAAATTTATTTGAAATAAATTCTAATTTTATTATGAAATTCTAGATCCATTTCAATTCAGTTTCCATTTCCAAAATTATTATCATTTTTGTGCGGCTAGAACGGACGAAAAATTTTGTTTTCGGGAGGATTTCTTTCTCATCTAAATTCATAGCAATGTAGTAATCACATGAAACTAAATAGTACTTTATAAATGACCATATAGTATATCATGTGTAATAAGTAACGCTGTGTCTATCAATTGTATTGGAAAGCAATCTATTTTAGTGCTTTCCGGCCTTTGAAATTACACGCTATCTGCATTTTTTAAAAATAGTGGAAAGTTTAGTTTGGTGTGATTTTATTGAACTTGATTTGTGTAGTTAAAATAAAATATGCTAAGTTAGTCCATATAAACTGTTAAAAAACATTGGTTTAAATTTGGTTTAGTTTATTAAAAATAAAAGTTTGATTTAGTTTGATTTAATTTGATTTAATTGAAGTCTAATTTTTAGTTTAAATCAAACTAACCAAGTTAAATCAGTCTATATAAACTATTAAATTATTGGTTTAGCTATACATGTCACTTTGGTTATATCGTCATCTGGATATATCGATATCTGACTATAATGTCGTTTTTTATATGGATAGATCAGTCCTGAAAAGACCAGATAAGGATTTGTCCTTTTAACCAGTCTGGATCGGTTCTCTGTTACATAATCTTTTATTTCCAATTACCGACATAATATGATATAATTTTTTGATGTTTAAATAATTAAGGGCCGTTATTGGGACCTAGGCTAGTGATGCAGGCGGAACTATCCCAATGAACCGTACGATAAATAGCAAGTTACGGTTACGGTTGCGGCAAAAACCGCATAAATCCCAAATGCCGTATGAATCCCAAGTGCCGTATGAATCCCAAATGCCATATGCATATCAAGTGCCGTATGAATTCAAAAATATCGTATCGATAAATTAAAATTTTATATCTACCGCTGTAGCTATATGACCAATATAGCATTTAATTAGTTAATACTACAATCAATATATGTAATAAATTAGATACATATGAATATATGTAATATATTAATCAATGATGTAATAAAAATAATTTAGAGTAATAAAATTAGTTTATATATTTTCTTAAAACTAGAAAAATGGTGACGTTTTTGTGGATAGATTCTTAATTTCTAGGTCTTATGTTTTAGAATTAAATTTAATATATATTTAAATTTTATAAATTGCAATTATATTTAAACAAAATAATTTGATTAGTGAAAGCATTAAAAGATGATATGATGTTTCTTGAACTAAAAAATCTTATTCTGATATAGTATTTAATAAAAGCTATTTAATAGATTTTAAAGCAAGTTCATTTGCAAATATTAGTAACAAACATATTATTAAATGCATTGGATCTTGTTTCTAACTTGCTAATGTATTTTGTGATATAAGAAAGTGTTATATAAAGAGAAATAATATGTTTTATATTGATATTAGCTCTTTAGTCTTGGATTTAAATTTGACAATAAGGATTTAGCAATGTGTTATTATAACTTTAAAAATAAAGGGTACATAGATTATTTTCATATAATCTTTGTAATACAATATGATTTTACAAAAAATAAAACTTTGCTACTAATAAAACTTTTTACTGTTGCAATTAATTCTTAACAAATTTTTATATAATATAAAATAAGACATTATTTATAATAGTAACTTTTTAATAAATAAAATATTTTAAAAAAATATACTTGTATATATTACAAAGTTTTTTGTAGTATTTTAAAATTTTTCATAGTTACATAAAATTGTTAATCTTGATTGGTTCAAATCACATGATCTTTATATAATTTATATAAATAATTTATATCTAATTTTTAAACATATGTATTTCAGTAAATATTTAATTAATTTTAATGAATTTATTATTATTAAAATTAAAAAACCCTTATTTTTATAATTTTTAATTAATTTTTAAAAGTTGTTTATTTAAGTAAATATTTTTTTTATTTTTAATTAAATAAAAATTTACTATAAGTTTTATATATAATTTAAAAATTATATCTTTTACTCTTAAATTGTTATATTTATTAAAATGAATTATGATTAAAGCACATAATTTCTTAATATAATTAATCTAATATTCTTTTAATCTAGTGTTTTTGTTTATTATAAACAATTAAATAGTAAGCATTTTGTATGTTTTTAAAAGTTATTAACTAATAGACAGTAATTATTAAAATTATTTGTTAATTTGACTACTATTTTGGCATAAATGCTATATAAATATATGTATAAAAGAGAATAATAATTTTAGTATAATAATTGAATTATTATCTTTCAAGCAGTAAGTTCAGAATTCAAATTTTATCCATAGTAAACTTTTGAAAAATGGACTTAATTTAGAAATTTGAATAAGGTATTTTAAGTTATAATTTTGTAATATTGATTGTATTAAGACTAATGTTAAAAATGTACAAAGTTATACAAATAAATTTAGAAAATATAAACTGAATAAAAAACTAAATATTGGCAACTTAAATAAAGTATCTAAGGTAATATATTTGTAATTTTGGTTGTACTAAAACTAACTTTAAAAGCATGCAATATTATATTGTGAACCTGTAGTTTTTCCTTTAAATACAGTAATATCAGAAGCTACCCAACTATAGTATGATGACTATAACTTGACAGATTCTATACAAAAGTCTACACAAGATTTAATAAAATACAGAGTGATTTGGGATTTTAAGGCAGAGACAACAATAGATACTATATGAAGATACTAAATATTACATTCAGTTTATTTACTATTTGAAATGTATGAAGACACTTAACTTTCTTGAAGGGTCAGAAAGTAGTGTTTTTATAGATATTTTACATGTATAAATT